GATAATGGAAGTAGGGTCTTGTATGCGTGTTTCGGAGATACAACAAAGATCTACATTGAAAGTTTCGAGTGTTCTATCCAGGGCAGCTTGTTGGCCAATTTGACAGAGCGTGCGGACATTCAACGCGGCCTAGTGAAAAGGGGATTTTGGCTTCAAAAATCTTGTAGCTTCTGAACCTCTGGCCTTGATGGTAAAACGATGAGTGGCGTGAACAGGATGCATCTGGGATCCATCGGGATTGAGAAGAAAAACTAGTCAGAACGGAAGGATCGTTTTCCAAATGGGTGCCTAAGACTTTAGGGCACGCATGCTTCGCGGTAGCCCACACCGACGAAGGGGTTTTTCTTTGGGAACCCTAACCGGAGCCTTTGACTCAAAAGTCTAACCCACAAGGCAGTGGGGCGTAAATCCAACGCGGGAGCGTGAACGAAGCACCCGTGTGGGAGCTTCTGGAGACTTGTCACGCAAGGTCTTTGAATTTCGATTGATTGTTTTGTTCGCTGGTGCGTTGATTTTCGGTCCGCTTTTCCGGATCGGCCCTCAGCCTCATGCACCCAATGAGACAAGCGGAACGTGGGCGGGACAGCAACTTATTGGCTGGGGGCTGCCCAGCTTGGGCGGGCGGTAGCTGTCCAATGAAGTGCGAAGACTTCTCCCACCGTCGAGAGGAAGCCCCAGGTACCCCTATCTTATGTCCATCTAGCGGGGGGTTTTCGACCGGTAAACTGCCCCTCACCGTGTTTATTTACTGGAGTGACCTCTCCAGGGGCGGGTTTGGATAGAAGAAAGAAGCCAGGGGGTGCCCAAGCAGCTGGCTTTGTGAGACTGAGCTTCGTCCGGCCTCTACGCGTTGACCTTTCAGGCATGATTGGATCTACGGCTGTGAGAATCCATCCTGTGTAGCTCGTTGGGTCATTGAGGCGCGCAAGCCATCACACCACGTCAAGATGCAGTCTCGTCGTGATGGAAGAATTTTTCTGGTTAACGAAGAAAAACTTTTCACAGGCAAACTTTTTCGAGATGTAACCATCTGTTCTCTGCCGTGTATTTTCTTGACTGTTATATGAACCGTATACTTGTAGGTGTAATAATTGCAATCGCAATGCAGTTCAATCAATCCTTTTTCATAATGCTTATCAACAGTCCTACTTCTTTGGGGTATTCTAGTTATGATGAACGGCAATCTAATTCCTGGGACCGAAATCGGTCAGCTAAGTGAGAGTCCTCCGTAATGGGCGAGATATCGAAGCTGACCTTTCACGGAAGTTTTTTATGGTGACAGGATTCAGACCTCTGACTTCAGACTCCGAAGCACACCATAGATAGCTTTTTGAACCACTTGAACACCACGACGACACTGTGCTTGTTTTATTTTTCTTCCAGTCCTCCATCATCAGTGAGCAGTTGGAATGATTGTTGAACTCGCTATTACCTCCGGTGTGAGCACGCCATGAATTGATGATCGTTTTACCAAATACGATGCCATTATACCATTCCACTTTAGTTTTACTGCTCAGACATTTATCGGTTGTACTTGATTTTCGACAGGTACTCTCGGTATAAAGGCGGACTTCAAATTAGCCCTAAAGTATTTCACTCTGGCCTCTCAACAAGGCAACATACTAGCCTTTTTCTACTTGGGAGAAATGCATGCGACTGGGGTCGGAGTTCTTCGATCTTGTACCACGGCCACTGAGGTGAGTTGTTTATTCGTTCGGCCGGCTGGCCGGAATGTGGTTGCCAAATTTGGTTCCGTTGCTATCACGCACGAATTCATAATGTAACTAGTTTTCATATCACACGTTTCAGCTTTTCAAAAATGTGGCCGAACGGGGTCGCTGGTCCAGATGGTTCATGTCGGCGTATGCAGCCTATCATGCTCAACGCTATGACGAGGCTTTCATCACATATCAATTGTTGGCTGAACTCGGGTATGAAGTGGCTCAGAGCAATGTTGCCTATATGCTGGAAGAAGGTAAGCTAAGGATACATTTCCGAAGAAGATCAGCCCACCGTCAAGTCAACTGTTTCACAATCCATTACCCCATTCCTGTTTATTCATTTTCAGGAAAGGTCACAGTGGTGGATAAGTCGGAATTTCATGTGCGCGCTCTTACGCACTGGCAACGATCAGCCACACAAGGTAGGTTCAGTGTACTCCGGGAAACCCCTTCATCTCATTCATTCCTCTTCACGCAGTCGTGTTTGCTTGCTACATACACAGTTGAAGTATGCGATTAAATTTTGCCCAGTGTTTTTCCCCACACAAAGCAGCTGACGTAGTAGTCATCTAGAGTGAGACGTCTTCGCGGATTTCTTCACTTCACCAAAATGAACAGGATTTTTTAAATTCGGGAGAAAACACGCATAATGCCAAGAGCATTTAATAGTTTCCACGTTTGAGTTCTTCACATGCCTCTCAGGCTTTCGCCCACGTTTGCGCAAGAGGCTGTGCTAATCAGTCCCAGTCGGTGACGTGCAACAGGAATCCAGCACACGTTTACACAAGGATCTCGGAACCTAGTGATCTTGACAAACATTATAGATGAGACGAGATGCCAACATGGAAAAGTTCCTCACACTATTCCATCTCATCTGAATCGTAGGAAAGCACCGAGTGTGGGGACAACGTAACTGACACTGACTATTCACAATAAGACTACTGCCTGCTGCACACTAGGCGGATCATCGTAAAGCATAATCTAGCTGGCCCTAAGTGTTACCTTTCCACACCGCTAACCCGGGACAAGCCCGTTTTGATATACACACCTTTTTACGCGAAGGTCCGCAAAGAAACAAAGTACCGAGTTTCGATGGCATTCATTTTTCTAGTAGTTGAATACTATCTCTTAAATACTCGCACATCCTGCTGTCCGCGGTTTAAGAATTTAATCAGTTCTCCCTTCGTGGACAACATCGATTGATGTTCTTACCTTTTAGAAGATCCTGTCTAAGGACTGCGCCAACCACGGGCTGCTAGTTTGCTCATTGTATTCTAGATGTTGTTAACTTCGCAGCTAAAACACTTGATAAATAGAATTCGAAGAAGCGTGTTAGGGTTTGGATCAATCTTTTATGCTGTAATCATATTTTTACCATCTAATATCCATTTCATTCTTTTCATTTCCATTATTACTTCCTTTTGTTGAGTATACAAAAGTACGATTTTCAGGAAGAGGGGAAGCGGTCAATCAAAGGGCTGCCATACAACACACATAATGGGGAAAGACAGGCGGTGGTGGTGGGAGTCGAACACTCATCCTTTGGGGTGATAATTGGGCCACCACCGCCATTAGTGTTAGAACAAAGAGAGACGTATACTACTGAACGATCAGTTAAACACCAGAATTCTTATCGGCTGGCGGTGAACAACACATTCAGATTGATGAGATCAATTAGTAAGCATGCAGGGCTCACATACCATATCACACCGTGTTTTATGTATCTGCTGCCGCCTTGCTATCACGTGAATTACTTATTACGCAGGGACTACTTATCCATAAACATAATGACATGTCGGAATCTTCCTATCCCGTTGCTCCATCTCTGATTCATTCAATGTCTAATGGCTATCAATCTGTTGAGTTGCTCTTGTGTTCACTCGCTTTG